AAGCGCATGTGGTTCAGGGCTCCGGGCAGACCCTCGCCTGCCCCTGGATGCTACGACCTCCTGCCCTGGGGATCTTCCCCCAAAACTGCCGGACGTGCAGCGTCCCCTTCGCGCCCCCAGAAATTCGAGGCCCAGACCTCTCCGGGTGCCCCCCGGAATGCCAGGAGCGTCTCTCCAGCCGCTCCGGTTCTCCCCCAGAGAGTTATTTTTAGCCTCCTGACGAGGCAGCTCGGCAGCACAGCTACCGAAGCCCAGGCAGCCAGGAGCACCTTTCCGAGGAGGGCGGGCGACCGGCACAGGGTGGCTGCGGTCCGGAGGAGGCGGCCTTGTCAAGAACCTCAAAAGTTGGATCATTTTCCCAGAGGACAACTTCGAGGCTCATCTAGGCCAGAGAAGCTGCCCTGCAGCGGGCAATCCACGCCCACGCCCCTCACCCACCTGAGAGGAGCTTGGCGGTGTACACAGGCCTAGGGGTCCCCATCCGGATTGGGGAGCCGAGCATCGGGGGCGTGTCCCCCGCCGCTCCCACTGGCTCAGCGGGAAGATGCAAACAGGCCCGGGAGTTTTCACTTTAACGGAAGCAACAGGGACGCGTGTCAGTGCAGGTGTGATACAGGCAAGTAAGTGTCTGACCTGAACGTGTCCGCGACCAACTGGAGTAAACTCCCTGGGGGATTGTTTGCGGCGAACCAGAGGAGGAAATTGCCAAGGCTGACTTGGTGACCGGATCAGGTAAGGCCAAAGTTAGAAAAACAACAACCACCACCACCAAACTGCTGTAGGAGGCTGAGGTGGTGCAGGTGAGCTCACGCGCCCACACCTGCCCCTATCCGACACTAACACACACCTCTTTTCCCACCCCTCCTTAAAGTCAAGAAGAGGCAGGTCTCGGCGGCGCCAGTAACTCGGGCACGCCTCCGCGGTACCCTCTCCTCCCGAGGACCCAGGTGGCCCGGCCCCGTTTCCCAACACCTGGGGAGGGGGCGGAGCCCAAGGATCCACCGGTAGTGGGGAGGCGCTGGCTGGGATGCGCGGATCCCCCGTCCGGTAGCCTGGAGCGCGTCCTGGTGGAGGCCACCTCCGTCCTGCGTGGCCCGGGGACAGCCCTGGCTGGGTACTGAGCGTCCCGAGCGCGTTCCGTGAAGGTGACTCAGCGACGTTTTCACCGGTCTAGAAATTGCGAAACTAGGAACTAGGGGAGGGAGCAGGGGCGGGACGTCATCACCCTCTGGCTGCGCCGGGGCCCTGGTCTGCCGAGGTCTGGTCCCAAACTTCCAGGCCCCCCACCCCCACCCCCAGGAATCCAGCATCGGGAGGAGAGCGCGGTGCTGCAGCCGCAGTGCCGCGGTCACGCGATGCGGGGACGCAAGCGGCGGCGGGAGGAGGGGGCTCCGTACTGGAGCCGCGTCTCGATCCCTCTCGCGTCTTCTCCCCTCCCCTTTCTCCTGCCTTCTTCAGCGAGGGCTATACGGTCAAAGTCAAGGCTTTGGCGTCTAGAGGAAGCATCTCAAAGCCCTCTCCAGGCGTCTAGAAGTCGGTGATGCTCCCCGAGGTCTCAGCCTTGGAGGGAGGTAGCTGCGGAGACCGCCAGAGCAGCCTCCCCCTTCTCCCCGGCTCTAAAGGGCACTTCCGTCAGTCCTGAAAAGCCGCTGCCTTAAACCCTGGAGCCTAGTGGGAAACTGAGGCACCGGAAAAGGAAGACCTAGCTGTGCACGAGCCCGTAGTGAGAAAGCCCACCTGCCACAGGGTCCCTCTTCCTCCCGGCGCCCTAGACTGGAGCCCCTGGGGTAGCGGCGCTGGGCGGGAGCGGGGTTGACTGGAAACCGAGCGGTGATGGGGGCGGGGCAGCCTGCTGGGTTCATTATCCGGCCTCCGGGGGCCCAGTGGGAGGGAGGTGAAGGGCTGAGCCCTCTGGCCTCGGTTCCAGTCCGCACAAAGGCTCCTCTGTCCTCCCTGCCGCCTCTCCCCCTGCCCCCACCCCACTCGCACGGCCTCTGCTTCTGCCCTCTTCATTCTTGTCCGTCACCTTCCGCCTCCCAGGTTGCCTCTCTCCAGGCACACACTGCCCTCCCGTCCCTCTCTAAAGAGCTTATCTCGGCTCCAGAAACTCATCGGCATCCCTGGCGCAAGTGCCAGGATTGGGCAAGAACAAGATGCTTTTCTTCTTTCGATAACTGGGGGAACCGAAACCCTGAGAGGTGAAGGGTCTTGCCTAAACCAGGGAACCAGTTCCCCCACAGAGCCCAGAAGCAAACCCGGGTCCCAACCCCCAGCCTGGAAGGCAGAGCTGAACCCAGACTTCTTGCTGATATTTATATGTCGTCCTGGTGGGTCACTTGCTGCAGGAGCTGCCCCAGGAGCCCAGCTACTCAGTTTCCCTAAGAAAGAGGAAGCATCCCAAAGCCCTCTCCAGGCGTCTGTCTCTAGGTCCTGATTAAGCAGCTTGCTGCTATGTACAGGTCTGGCATCAGGCTTGCTCTGCCCTGATCGCCATCCCACAGCTCAGCCAGCAGGTAGCACCTGTCTTTCAGGTGAGAGAGACTGCCTTTCTATCTTCCTCAGCCACCCCCTTCCTCCTTGTGGGCAGCCTCCCCAGGTGGACACACCTGAGAACACCCCCTCCTTTTTCTTTCCCCTTCTTCAAAGAAAGAAAGCAGGAATTCATTGGGCCTGGCCCAGCTCTCTGGAAACTTGGAGCCAAGGCCGCCAGATGGCAAATGACTTGCTTTTATTAGAAGAGGATTCCTGCCACCTCACCTTTCCCTGAAGCTACCTTCCCTGGAGGTTTCAGCTCCCAAATTGAAATACAGGGCTTCAAGGCCTCCCTGGACCTCGAGTCCTTTCTGCCTGGGAGGTTGCAAGGGTGGGGAAGGGAGGTGTCCAGCCCTGCAAACTCTACTTAAGACTTGTGTTCTGGTGGTGATGCAGGAAAAACGAATGTGGGGAGTGAGGAGGGCCGTGTCCCAGGCTTTGGCTGAGCCCGTGGGACATGCCCGCCAAGTGTGGGTCCTTGGCTTCACACAGGAAAGAATTCAAGAGCGAGCCACAGTTGAGTAAAGGTAGATTTATTCAGAGAGATACTTTGAAAGGCAAGAGAAAGGCCACGAGGTGTGGGGTTTGGGTGCTCAGATTAAAAGTAGGGACATAGACAGCCCTCTCTAAGAGGGAGAGAGAGGGCGGCTGCTAAGAGGTGCCATGTTGCCAGTTTCTACAGGCTCAGTGGCTTCATATGCTAATAAGTGGAAGGACCTGTCTAACTAGCCTGGGGAAGGGGCTGGGATTCCCAGGAAGTTGGCCATTACCCACTCTTTGACTTTTGTGGCTAGCCTTGGGACTGTCATGGCATCTGTGGGCATGTTATTCACCATGTTAATATATTACAATGGGTGTATAATAAAGCTCAAGTTCTACTAGGAGTCAAATCTCCCACCATCTTGAGCTTCAAGGCCTACTGGGGGTTGACTCTCACACCATTTTGATGTTAACTGCTGTATCATTCCTTGAACGGCTGTGCCCTGTCCCCTTCCTGTCTCACTGGTACAGCCCCAGATGTGGCTTTCCATTCTGAGAGTTTCCTAGATTCTGCTGACCATGTCAGGCGTTGGAGATGCTGGGCTAGCGGTGGGGCTTGGAGGTCCAGGAGGGCAGACTGGCCACACAGAATTCTTGGCTGTGTGCAGGGAGCGATCAGAGTTTCTGTTTCTGCAGTGGTTCTGCTACTCTGGGTGTGATAGAGTCTAGCTCTACCTCTTGGGGGGCCTCTTTGTCCCGATCGGTGTCCTTGCTGTGGCTGGGAACCAAGGTCTCTTCTGGGCCTCTGGGCTCTGCCCTCACCTGTCAGCCTCCTTTTCAGGGAAATTCGCTTCCACAGCCCTCAGTGTGGAAGCCTGCCAGCCATATCCCCTCCACTCTTCATCCGGCATTTGAGGGCAATTTTACGAGTCTTGTGGGGTTATCAAAACAAAGCACCACAAACTGGATGGCTTAACAGAAGTGCACTGTCAACTGTTCTCAAGAAGCCCAAGATTAAGATGCTGGCGGGGTCAGTTCCTTTTGAGAGCCCTGACGGAGAGCCTGTTCCAGGCTTCTTCCCTTACTTCTCGTGGTTGGCTGGCGAACTTTGGGGTTCCTTGACTTGTACGTGCACCACCCAGTCCCTGCCTCCATTATCCCATGGTCCTCTTCCCTGTGAAAGATTTGGCTGATTGATTCTTTTAGGGTCTGCATTAACTCCTGTGGGCATGTTCTTTTCCAAATGCAGATTACTCTGGGAGGGAAATCAGTAAGTTATCAGGACTCTAGTGTGAATGGATGTATCACACTTTTTTCTTTTTGATTTTATTGTTTATTGAAGTGTAGTTGATTTACAGTGTTAGTTT